TGCTGACAGTGACATGAAACATAGAGACTACATTTCTTAAGAAAAACAACTAAATCTAGACTGCATCTGTTGTGCAGAAGTACGACAAGCTAATATCCTACTTACTGAGCAAGCAGAAAATAATGAACTAAAATCTGAAGGAAGTCAAATGAAACAGATAGATATTAATTTGTTGCTCTGGATATTAATCTATTCATCTATGAAGGAAAATCCATTTACATACGTACCATCTTGTAACTAGAACACGGAATTTAATAGACTGGGATCTATTCCAAAACGTAAAAAGAAAGCTAATTAATTTTCCTAGATTATTCTAAATCTGAGATCTTAAATTTATAGGAAATTTGAAATTCTCTCTATATATTTAGTTATATAGACACACATTTTGAATTTTGTTGGATCTAAGAGGTCCTCAACCCATTGTTCTGAAAGCAAAATCATGAAGGCTGCAAAACAAATATTTCTTGTTCTTCTGCTCATGAACTTGGATTGAAATGAACACTTCTTTATGAACACCATTCCTACATAACCAGGCAACGTTCTTAAATTACTCCTTTCAAGGTTGATCTGCTTTATAAAAGTACATGGCTTTTTGGCACCAGAACTGCACCAAGAGTTCCCTGGTAAGCTAAATCAGTCTCCTGACACATTTACCTCTTCTCCTGAGTAGAAGGAAAAACCTTTGTTGCACTTAGAAGATCCTGTACTTCAAGACCTGCCAGCTTTGGTGAACTTCTCTGTTTACCAGCTGCCTCCCGTGGGATCCTACCCAACAGTTCTCTAATTAAGCCAGTGTCCTGCTTTCCTTAGGTTCATGGTCTGTACTCTTCTGCTTGACTTTCTTACTTCTTTCACGACCACAAACACCACTACTTCAAAGTTACTACAGACATCACATCCCCAACAAGTTTCCTTCCATTCAGATCCAGCTATGTGTCTCCATTAGCAATGAATTATTCCTGAAACCCTCCAGAAATCTCTTTGTTTGCAGCAGCCATGTTGCCTTTCTAGCAGTTGTACAGTCCTTCATGAGAACCAGGGTCTACAACTCAGAGACTTGAGTTCTTTAAACACTTGCTTCCTCATCAGATGACCTGTAACAAACTCCCACCACAATGTCACCCTTACTGGCCTCTCCTCTGATCCTGAGCCACAAGTCTGACCATCACGTATCACATGGGAGAGCTCAAAAGATCAGAGCTGTTTGTAGATCCGAGGACAACTTCCACGCCCTCAGCCCTTCTTTGCCAATCTTTCCTGAAGTTCTTCACAGTACTCCAGCTGCATGAACTTGTCACAGTATCTTAATTGCTCCAACAATATTGTAGTTTGGTAACCACACACAGCTCTAATTCTTCCTACTTGTTTCACAGGATGTGTACATTTCTGTACCAATTCTTGAGGTGTCTCTTCACCTTGTTTTATCCTTTCTGAAGTCTCTCTTGCTCCTATCAACCCGCATCCTGAGCTTTCACCTTTGACCACCACAGGTCATTTTTATGTGGTCTATAATGTCCCATACCCACCATTCCTAGTTCAAAGCTTTCCTAATTAGGTTGGTCAGATTGTTGGATCAAGGAGGCAACACCTGTGCCCCCATGATTCCAATCCCAGATCTGTGTGCTCATGCCCCATAAGCCCCCAGCTAGTGCCCATGTGGATGAGCAGCAGTGAACAGTAGTAGCCTAAGGACTGGACAGATTTTGGAAATTTGTCTGCAATGTTTTGGATCCATGACCATAGCAAGCCACATGACCTCAAAAAAGACAAGTGGAGAACACAGGAGTTCTCTCCCCACAGGAGGGAGTCTCCTACTACTTCCACTCACTGCTTCCTCTTGATGTTAGTGCATGGTTCAGGGTAAAGCTGGGTCTGATGCCTCACCAGCCATAACTTTTTTATCCTACTCTGCTAACAGGATTTAAAATCTATTCTGGAACTGCAGATCTGCATGTGGAAAACAGAGCCATCCTCCAGTTGCTGGAGATCATAAGTTTCCAGCCTTCCTACTATGGGACTCTATCTTGCAACTAATTGAAGCCTCTGGCTGCCCGCCCATGTGGTTTAGACTCTTACCTCTGGGAACCCTGTGAAGATCCTGTTAATCTCCTCTTTGCCTTCCCTGAGCCTGCCCAGCCTGCTCACTTCCTTCTGCATCTCAAAAGAGGCAACACATTTCCTCAACAAGTATACACCTCTTGTAGGCATGGAGACCCCTTTCTCCTGCCCCAGCCTCAAGGGAAGGCAGTCCAAGGCCTGGGGACCTGCACCCTCCTTCAGCATTTCAGAACTAAGGTCTCTAGCATCCCAGCAACAGCAGCCCCATCTTCTGCTGGGAACGATGCCCCAAGGTGTGCTACTACCATTGCTGATGTGCCTTATGCTGCCACCAACATGTTTCCAGCCCCCTCCTCCTTGCAAACTTCTGGACAAGCCACCGCTCCCCACAGACACAGCCTGGGATCTGTGTGCTGGACCTGGTAGTTACACAGGTCTCTCTCAGTGTCACTTGAATAGGAATTTGTCTCCCCCTAACTAGGAGTCACCTCTTTTACCCACAGCCTAGTTCTCAGGATGCCCCACCACCACCTCTGAGGATGTCACCCCCCTCCTTGCCAGGCTGCTACCCGCACCATGTCCACTCAGTAGCCTGGGGGCAATGTCGTCATGGTGACAGGGCTTCCCCACACACTCCCTTGCCCCACATGGACCCCTTCTGCCTGAACATAAGCCCAGCTGGACCCCAACCATGGCTTGCTGTACATCAGGGCCACCATCCTCACCGCACATGGGGATGGGACACCAGCACCTGCCTTCTCTGGCTAGTCCCTTCCTGCGAGACTACAAAGTCACCCCCAAAGATCCCCAGCAGTGGTGCCGCCATAGGCTTCTGCACACACTCTCGGCCGGTCCCTCTCCCTAGGCTACGGGGATAAATAGTTGATGGTCGATTTATCACTTTCACAAACCCTAGATAAGACTTTACTCTTAGTGACAACACAAGAAATCAGAAGTCTCAAATTTGTTTCTTCATGTGATGATGACGTACTGCTGACATACCTGTTTTAGGCCTTCCAGCTTGGTTTGTCCCAGTTTTTCATATTTCCATTTCCAAAGAAATAATTCATTTTCTATCTTTTCCATTTCTTTTTCCAGAAATACATTCATTCTGAAAAAGTATTTTGAAAGTCAGCATTATATCTTTTTGAAGTCAACAACAGACAAATTACTTCGAATTTCCTTTTCATAGTTTGAGTTATAATATGCTGCCTTTATCAACAACATATCTGTTTTTTATTAAAAACCTATATTATCAACATATAATTATTCCAAGAGATTTACAAAAAATAATAGCTAAAGAGAACAAAGAAATCCAGAAGTATACAATTAAAATTTGAAATGAAACAAAATTTTGGTATAAACAGAAGAAAATAGGGAAATGGATTTCAGTTAGTGATTTATGTCACGTAATACATGGCAAGTTAGTGAAGATCCTTGGAGAAAAGGTACTTTATCACTTCTATTTGGGTACAGACAGAAGATTATTTTAAACATGCATATGCAGGGGAATATGTGCAGTACGCCGACAGTATTGCTTGAAAGAAAATGCTAGAACAATTTTAGGATCCTGGATTATTTAGCTCAGAGGTTCTATACTCTCATTAAGCATTTGCCTCTGGAATGTCATTTGTGCATAAAGTCCATTACTACATTCAGGAAAAATATTTTGGATCCACAATTCACGAAGAATTAATTCCTCAGATAAAGGTATGGTATTATTGAAATGAACTTTGATATTTATTTTTATCCTTCTTCTAACCAATTAATTTTTTTTCAGTCACTCAGGAAATAATGAAAGGAATATGAAGCAGCAGAGGCAATACAGATGTTTTGTCTATGAGATCAACTAAAAATTCATTTCCCTGTTCACAGGAAACACTATTAGCCAAGTTCCAGAGACAAGAATGAGCTTCTCAATTTCACTTTATTAAATTTCTTCACAATTTTATTTTATATTTGTGTAATGTGTCATTTTGTAAATTTGTAACAAAATAGAATTTGGAACATAATTAAAAGTGGATGGAAAAAATTTCTAACTATGAATAAAAGCTTTCAAATTACATTTGTAACATTTCAATGAAAACAAATATCAGTTTAAAATTCGGGAATATTCATTACATTGGCTATAAACATCAATATAGGAAAAAAGCCTATAAAGTCAGGATGCTGAAGAAATAATAATAAAAAAAAAGTGTTCCCTGATACTCAGACAGAGCCTCCTGTATCCATTGCCTAAGTCTACCATTCCAGCCCTAAGCAATTTCTCTTTGATATTATCAGGTACCAGTGTAGTTGGTGGGTTTTTGGTTTTAGAACAAAGAAACGCTCTTAAGTTCAAAGTGGAACAAATTCAGATCTTGAAAACAGAAGACGTTTAATTGAGAACACTGATCCAAAAGATTAAAGAATAATTTGCCTAAAATAGTAAAGTGCTGAAAACTCATATGGTCTTTAATTCCTGTTCATGTCAATGGGACCTCAAATGTTTATTTGATACAAACCATAGTTCCTAGTAGAGGATTTTAGTCTGTGATTTTACATTGTAAACCCAACCCTGACGTTCTTTGAAAGTCAAAACACAAACTTTGAGGTGGGTTTTTTGTGGGGTTTTTGTTTTGTTTTAAGAGTTCCTTTAAATATATATATTTTGAAAAGCCTTATCTATGGCTTAAGAGTATATTGGAATTACTGAAAACAGCTCCAAACAGAATGCAAGAAGCATAGGTCCTCTCAGCATGAAGAAGGAAAACATCTTATGGAGAGATTATTCAGGTAACTAGGGGCAAGTCAAAACACTGGATCTGTGTGAGCTAACTTGACTCTGGAAAGAACGTGACTGTAGTTCGGGACTACTGTGTGTAAACCAGAAAACTCTGCTGAGGAGTTCTGTGCTGTATGAGTAAGATTGTACTGACTGCCAAGGTACCTTTGGCCTTGGGGTTCAAGCTGTCTGTGATCCAAACTTGCTTTTGATGCAGCACAGCTGGGTGTCCTTGGCTCAAGTTTACTGAGAAAATTGCTAAGTTGTGAGGAAGAAGCTGTGAGAAAGTACTTAAGCTAGAGCCATGAAAGATAAGAAAAGTAAAAATGCAAACAGGGGTGAGATTGTTGAGATAGTCATTAGCTCCAGGATCGAGGAGAAAAAATGCTGACATGGATAACTATAAAATCCTAAGAGGAAAAACTGGGAGTCTGCAGATGGAGACTCAGCAAAGTAAGACCATTCCAGTAAGCAGTGAAGACCAACCCTTTCTGAGCTGGGAGATGATAGCCTGCCCAGACTCATAGGCTGTCTCAACAGACTGGTGACTATGTTAATGCTTATCCTAATAACATTATTTATAGCTATTCATTGTTTCATCCTTAAAGTTGCATACTTTCTGCTTTACAGAATATCTTTGCACCTTGCCCAAGGTAACCTAGAGAGGGAGTTGTTACACCAATGCTCACTGTTACGTGGGAATCACTGCTCTGTGACCATTTGCTGCCTGAAGTTGCTACTGCCATATGTTGTTACACAGTGTAGACATGCCCCAGTTCTTACTGTGTGCCAGTAAATTTATTATTGTATACCACAGTCAGTATATATCTAGGGATAAACGGCAAAATCTGTCTCTGAAGTACAGTTACAAATTAGCTAGAGAAGCACATGAACAAACAAACCAAACCTAGGAGTTAGAACCAGGGTTTATTAAAATACTGTCTAAGTGACTAAAAAATAAGAGTTGAAAAATTGTCCCCTTTCTAAAAGGAAAGTTTTATATAGGCATATATATACTGTGATTGTTGTTGAAAAATTAAGTACCTAGGACCCTAAATATTTCAACCAGAGGAGAAGGATATGTGAGACATCAGCCTCTTAACTCACATGAAATACCACGACAAACTGAAAAATTTAGGAATTCTGGGATTTTTGCTTCCACAACATACTAAATCTTTTTTAATGAGATAAAACACATCATCTGCTGCACTATGATTCAAATAAAGAATTATTGTATGTTTTCTACAGCTGTCTGATTCATATAACAGAACAGAAGTTAGGAATTTAAAGTTGTTTCCATCCCCCTGCCCCCCCTTAGGCTTGTACTATCTACAGGACAATTGTGAAAAAAACTGACAGGAAAGGAATTCTTTTTCATAAGTTACCACTACAGACTAACCCTGAACTGAAACTGTTGAATGTATTTGCAACAGGGGGCACTTTCTTCCTTTCCATTTTCTGATTAACTTCAGCTGGTTTTGAAGTTATAGCCACACAGTGCCTGAAGTCTCCTACCACATCCATCATACATCACACACTGTGTGTTTCCTTGGAAAGCCTTTTTGGTATGATTCAGTCTTGCTCAATACTGATTATCTATACAAGACATCAACGAATTCCTACCAACACAGAGACTTACATTCTAGCATATAGCATATAATCAACATACAAATTATTTTAGGCCACTAAAATGCACATTTACTATTTATACGAGGTAAATTTGATATGATAAAATAAACACACGGTAAGTGTGTTATTCTCTCTCTATTATCTGCTTTTGCCATAGACCTTCCTACAGGTTAAGAGGTTAAGATTAATAGCATTTTGCAGCTGCATTCTTGTGCTTTTAATTAAAAAAATGTCCTTAGCTATTCTGCAATTAGACTCTTTCAAAGTCTGCAGGTAGAGTATATGAAAATCTGTTATTATGCACAAAGCACATCAGTAACTGACCATGACATACATTTGATACCACTGCACTAATACCAAATTACTAGTAAGTATAATTTTTTAATTAACTGTACATTCTTAACAGCTCTCTATGGAGCACTTCCTATTTAAATGATAGACAAGCCAAGGAAAACAAAAAACACAGTATTGTGAAATGTTTACAGAACATGGAAACATTGACTTTTGCTACTATTAAGAAAAAAAAAAAAAAAAAAAAGCTGTTTTTTTCCTAAATTCTCTAAATGCTGAATTTTTTCTAAATTCTTATCAAAGCCTTGTAGGTAGCAATTAATAAAATTTAGAAATAAGAACATATGAGCTGTAAATGCAAATATCACCATATCTATTTTAAAAAATGTCTTTTAAAACTTTATTTTTAATAGAGATTTCCCCAAGTAGGGTATATTTTGCACTTACTCTCTTTCCTTCTGTAAGATTTTCTGCATCTCAGCCAAATGCAAATACGAGATGGAAACATGCATTAAGTCATTCTCTGTTGTCTTAGCTGTATTATCCAAACTTTTTTTAGGTTCCTCCAAATAGATACTGGGAACTCCACTGGGAAAGTGATTTTCAATTGGAGTGATTTTCTTATTGTGATTGCTTTGGTCTTTGATTATCTCTACACCCTGAGAAAACAAAAATATAACATCCAAGAAAAATATAAACAAAGGGGGAAGTCTAACATAGCTTCTGAAGAGCCTACCAAGGCTCTTCTAGACATTTAAGTCACATAGGAGAAAAACAGGAATAAGTAACATCTTGTACAGTTGCACTGTATATGGGTAGAATTTGCAAAAATGTCACTGTAGTTGAGTCACTGTCATTTTGTAACATCTCACAGCTTCTGTTATGACAAACTTCATATCCAAAATATTTCTAATGTATCTTTACTAGAGAAATAGGTTCCAATTATCATTAGTTGGCTATAACTACGGTGAAGACAGAATCCTGGAACTAACAAAACCAGGAATGCAATTTATGCATACAAATATCTTGAGTAACTGCACATTAAGAACTCTTAAATTTCATATGTAAATCATGGTGAAGCAGGTGATGGGCTTATACAAATTTTGTATAAGGATCAGTTACCTGCATAACTAATTTGCATCACATTTAGAAACTAAAGCACTATAATATCTATTTTGAAGATACATCTTACATAAAAAACATAAGCAAAACTAATAAAAATTAGAAAAATATAATTAGAAAATAAAATACATCTTTATTAGGAAGACTGAACATCTCTTATAAAAAATATTTTCCTTTAGAAATGTATTTAAATTTGATCACCTCTGATGAATTGTGTTTAAAAGCAAATCTCATTTTATCAGATTACCAACAGTCCTATTTTGTACCTGTCTGTTCTTTTGAGTTTTTAAAAGAATGCCTGAAATCTACATCAGAAAATACTAGAAGCTGTTAGAAATGTAAGACTGTTTTCCATTAATATATGTTTCAGTTTTCAAGTAGTGCATTATTTTATACTAAGGAGAATGAAAAAAAGTTAAAATATATTTTGTGTCATCTCCTTCCTATGGCCCATTTGCCCAAAAATATGAAAGGCATGCATTTTTTTGTCAAATTTATTCTCACTGCTAACGTTATGGTGGGGTTTTGTCAGAATTCACAGGAATATAATTACAGAGTGAGTGAATATTCTGAATGTAATACATTCAGACCTAAGATCCTGATAGTTTTAATTGAACTGAAGTAAAAAAAAAATCCTACATCCTACAGTGTATAAAAACCATTTTCTTACAATGTAGGAAAAAATTTCCTACATCCAAAATGACTATCATCTATCAGACGAATAACAAGTATAGTTTTTACATGGTGCTGTCTATGAAGACTATATAATACATGACAAGGCATTGAATTAAAACTGAAAAAAATGAGCAAATAGTTCCATTTGGATAAATATAATTGGTTCTTTTGTATAGAACTAGGAGCTGTATTAAAGCATGCCCATACTCGATTGTTTAATTCTGCTTAACAACTTAATTGCACTCCTTGCCACTTTACAGAAAAAATTGCCTCATCTCTTCCTTCATTTCAAAAGTTGCATTAAGGGAGAATTAAATTATTTTATTTTAGAAGACAGGAGGAAGTTACATTGCTTTTTTTGGATGAGAATTCAGATAACAGAGGTAATCTGTTACCTTAAAACATGAAAGTCAGAGCAATACTCTAAGTTATAGTATATAAGAGTTACTTAAATGTTTAGGCAGAGTTGAAGGGTATGATTTATTTTCTGGATTTCTCTATATTAGGAATAATAGGTGAAAAAAAGTGAGTTTACTACTGAATGGATCAGGTAGTATTTTGGTCAAAATCTTTGAAAAATCCCATTTCTAGATAAACATCCATAACCTCCTGCTTCTTCACAAACTAAAAATATTCCCCATTCTTTACCTTCTTTGTGCTTTTTGCCTCAGGAATCTTGCTGATTTTGCTCACTTCTTTCACAGGTTCTTGTTCCAGAAATGTTAACTGATTTAGGTCTTCTTTAATTGAAGATAAGCCTGAGCAACTGAATTCTGTTTTCCAAGCAGTTTTATTTTCTAAATTTTCCTTCTCAATTAATAAATCTTGATTTATTTTTTTAAGCATACTTAGTTGTTTAACAACACTGTCTAATTTGATTCTCAGTTGTCTTGCTTCCTCCCGGGCTTTATCTCTTTCTGCTCTAACTTTGCTCCATTTCTCCCTCCAGTTAGCAGTACAATCTGACCACCAGCGCATGGTCTTCTCCATTTGGGCAGCTCTGGCTTTGACTTCTTCAAGTTCCTGAATTCTTACTGCTTCAAAAATTTCCCAATCACTGCCGTAACGTGTATGCATATATGGGTAATGAGATGAATACGGGTAGAAACTTTGAGATGGGTGATTTGAATTACACAGATGGACATCTGGTTGGCAACCTCCAGCTAATTTATAAGTTTGTCTTGGTTGGGTCTCAAAAACCTGCGACTCTTCCATTAGTTTCTGAATGGAACCTGAATTCCTGTTTTGACTCATAATCTAATTTCACTCCTAAAAAAGACAAAGACAGACAATAATTTAGCTTCTCTCAGTTAGATTATACTAATAACCTCAAACAGTAGTTTATTTTACAGCTATAATAATAAGACAATCATACTGCTGATGTTTTAGAAATGTGCTTCATCAACAAGAAATAGCTATTAAAATATATGTTATGTAATACTTTTTGAGTACAGCATAAACAGACATACCTATTACTTGACTACAAATTACTAATGAAGGAAGTGTCATTAAATAATCATAGTGTTCTCAAAAATTTTTGAGTCTAGAGAAACCAGGTAAAAGTTTTCTTCACTCAAGATTAAATTGAATCGATATATATTTTAAATATCTAGTAAGAGGAAAATATTGTCTAGAACTACAATCACATGTTCACTTGCTTTTTTTCCCCAAACTGTGGAACTTCATACTAGGCAAAACTTACCTTATAATTTGCCTACCTAAGAAAAAAAAAAGAATTTAAAAAAAATAAAATAAATAAAAATAAAGCCAACAACTGACAGTTTTTTGTTCCAGTTTCCCAGCCGTTTTCAACTTTTCAGTGCTTTCCAGGAACCAAAATTCGAAGAGAAGAGAAGGAAAAGAACAGTAAAGGACTCCATCTCCCTTCATTATCACTGTCTAGTGTAGCACTGCCAACATGTACAACAACACTACATAGATGTAGAACAGCTGCTAACAAAGCTTGATCAAGGTTGAGTTTTTCTTGTTGCCTGACTTACTCCCAGAAATTCTTGAGGGGGCAGGGGGAAAGTTAACCTTGTTACCACATTCCAAATAAGACACATCTCCCTATATTATTATATAAAGATGAATATGATGTAAAAAGACTTCCCTGCAGAATGGATTCATAGTGTATAGCTAAGACCTATTTATAATTCATTTATAAAGCCATAACAATCCAACTAAATAAATAAAACAGCAAGCAGCCTAGATAACGAGACTACATTAATTATCTCTATTTTAATTGATTTATCAACTTTTAGAATACAGCATGAGCATATTAAGCTGCTTTGTTCACCATTTCTTAGAGATAAGCAGGGTAGACATTGCTGATGTAAAGCTCATACACACACACTTGTCTCAACAAAATACTACAGATGTCACCTAATAACACATATTATGCTTGCCCAAGGTTTTGATTTATCCACAAAGTCCTAAATTAAACTTATCTCAAGTGAAAAGAGGATATTTCTTGACTGAAAGACAGTCAAAGGAGACTTCTTGGGAAGTTCTGCACTCTGGACAAAACAACCCCTGGCAGTCCTACAGGTTTGGGGAGGAGC